TAAAATTCTAATATAAGCTTCATCCGAATAATTTTCCTATAAAAACTCCTATCTGTGTCCATTGGTAAATACCAATGACAAAATTCTAGTCTTCTTTGTTCGCCCGCGGGATGCAGATTAACTAACTTAAAAATATAAAATGTCTGGAAGTACATAAAAATTACTTCCATTCTAAAGAGGGGAAAAGCATCTGATATATCCAATTACAGACCTTTGCTAGGGCTTTTGAGAAGTCGCTCCATGAGCGTATTTTCAACCAAATGAACTTGGTAACCCAGAAACGACATGTTTTTTTTAGAGTTCGAAGCACAATCAGTAATTTGGCGACGGGAGGTGGGTGGATGTGCTATACACGGACTTCTCAAAAGCCTTTGATCGGGTGGACCACGCTGTACTGCTCTCTAAACTGAGGATGCTTGGATTTTGTGGCATTCATAAAGCCATATCTGCATAGCACTCAACGCTTAGGTTCACGGCCAGTAGCGGCGATCCCAAGGGTAGCCATTTAGCGCCATTGATATTCTTGCTTTTCATTAATGATATAGTAGCTAACGTTGATAGTGAAATTTTGCTCTTTGCTGATGATGTAAAATTGTTTAGAATAATTGAGAGAGTGGTCGACTGTGTGTCTCTGCTGGATGATTTAGAGATTATTGGTTCTTGGTGTGCTTTTAATAACCTACCTCTGAATACAGATAAATGTTTCGCAATGACATTTTCATACAAAACTGATAAAATAACTTTTAATTACGATCTGGATAACATATTATTCAGAAAATATTACAAGTTTAAATACGTTTGACACAAAAATCTCCTACAGAAATCATTTCGATGAAGCCTGTAGAGGTGTACTCAAAAGGCTGGGATTCATAGTGAGAAATTCTAGGGCTTTTGCGAGGGTACATACTTTAAAACTCTTATACTACAGTTATGTGCGCCGCAAAATAGGGTACGGTTCAACGGTGTGGCAACCAATATTTGGTATTAATTTCTGAAATTTCTTCACTTTCATGTAAATGGTTTCTACAAGGCTACGGGACTGCCACAGAGTAATTTATTACTAATGTTTATTGTTCGCTCACTAATGAACCGTAGGAGGTACCTTTCATTTCTGTTTTTATATAAACTTTGCAATTTATTAATAGATTGCCCTGAGTCGCTGAGCCAGCTGAACTTTCATGTTCCTTCAAGGACTGTAAGGGTATCACCTGTATTTCAACTAGTAACTCCAAGAACCAATTTTTTGATTAATGTTTCTCTCTATCAGTTGATGAAATCGTTGAATGAAGTCTGTAATGATATTGATGTTTTTTGTCGCTCACAGTTCACCACACTAATTAAACGTAAATTTTAAATACTATAATGGAGTCACTATTAATTTGATGGAGTGAATATAGTTGACTACCTATTATAGTTATAGTTATAGTTCTTAAGATGAAATTGCCTTCTAAACAATAAATATTATTATTATTGTTATTGTTACTATTATTTTTCATTCATGAATGCTTTCGGACTTAAAGTAGGAGTAACATTTTCTACTCCCACGTGGTGCCACAACTGTTCTATTGGGTTAAATGAATATACATGGGTTCAGCTAAACTATGGCATACATATAATTTTTTAAAGCTACACTTCCAAAAGTTGCCTCTAGCTGGATACAAAATGCATATTGTTTTGTAACAAATATTCCTTAATTTCAGCTTTTGTACTTGATGAATTTGGTGCTTTTTGCAGCAGGCGGCCGTGATAGCTTGCCTTATACATCACAATGACACCGTTATTCGAAATATTTTTTAAAAGATAATTGTGAATTCAGTTTACAAAAAGTTATGCAATTGTATCTTCATGCATATTTTAAGCTCGAGTCTTATTCTAATGTTAAATTAAAAATATTGGCATAGCCTGTTACTATAACCGACTTTTACATCACTAGTTAAGATATAAATCCCAGTAAGGTTAAACCATGAAAAAGTTTAGGTCATGTAAACAAAAATTATTCTTCGACAATGGCTGTCAATCATTATGCGGCTTGGGTCGGTCGCTGGCAAAATAAAAGATGATTTTTTGGGCGTGTGTGTCCGTAGAAAACAAAAAGTAATCCACCTAAAACTCTTCGCAGACACCAGCAGGCACGAATAAATCTCTCTTTTGGTCCAGCGTGAATTATGGTATGCTTTTGCTTTTGTCTGACAGTTTTTACTGGAATCAACCAATTCTTTGGATACTGCATAGTGTGTATAGAACCAAGTTTCATCTAGTTAAATTATACATCTGTTTTCGCTTCGACGTTTTTTAATTTGCTGAAAATAATTAAATCTCTAGGTGCGCAATCTGTGCGATTCCGATACCTTGTTTCGTTCAATAATTCCCTGTTAACAATATCCTTTATCTAGGATACTAGCGATTTTATAAATACGCAGGTTCATTTTAAAGCTTTTTCTTTAATAAATCGTCGACTTATTAAACATTCAAACGCATTTTTTACAATTCGATTCGCATCTAATGATAATTAATTTCGACGAGACATAACGGAAAAAATTCTGGTGAGAAGACTTTTCAACACGCATCGAAAAACGGGTTATTCACGCTGCCACTGTCGATCAAATGCCAAGACGATAGATATACTTTGAGACATAGTGTAAAATGCATTTTCTTTAAGATCTTGGAACTACAAGCATAACCTTCGCCTCTGCCTGGCTCATTTAAATCAAGCAAGAAGGATTTCGATAGCAGATATAAATAAGCGGCTTTAATTTCGCTATTTCCCCGAACCAGCGACGTTAATAAACGTACTACATTTCGTTTGCCGCAAAAGCAAGACGTTTTGCATATATCCCGCGAATCGTAATAAATTTCAGCGTGATTAAGCGATTATAATTATTTTTTCCCCCATTTTCACTCTAGTTGTATAACGTGTTGCCTTAATCGCTGGAAAATCTAAATCCACACGTAGCACTTCGTTTAATTTGATTTCAACGACAAAACATCGGTAGGCTTCTTGTAGAACGTACGGTGTGGTATTCTCCCGAGGTGTGTCGTTTATTTATATGATATACAAGGCGTTTAATGTCCTCACCGGAAAGGTTTCCATCGTTTTCTATGGATTTTGTTGTGTTTTTTTTTTATAGAGAAATGGGCTCAACGTTTAACCGCATATTTCAGTGAGTAAAGTTGCCACAAGAGAGAAATTAAAACGGATTAAGAGAACCTGTTTATAATCATTTTTTTAATTTTACGTTTTAAATTAATATATTATTTACAACTCTTTTCTTGACCTCACTGCAAATTTAAATCGGTCTGTTTTATGAGACTCGTCAGCATGTCGATATATTTTTACTCTCTAAAAACTCCGGGGCCAGTATAACTTAAAATACCATTTTAATGGGAATTTCAAGTCTCGGCGAGTCCCTTTCATAAATTTCTTTTATTTACTAAGCGCAATAAATTTTAAATGGCACCCGTAAGCCGTAAAGTCTTCACATAAGATAGCTACCTGAAAAAATGTGGTTGCTTAGACGGGACATCATTTAAACCATACTGGCAGGATCATAAAATTATGTTTGAATTATGATGGAAGAAATGACGCCTGCTTTTTAAATGGGATGTGTATTTTTTATACGAATTTTGAAAACTATTATGTTATACAGTTTAGGCACGAGTAGAACGAGTGTTTAATATGCGAGTGACTTGAATAAGTTTATAAACGATGCAAAACATGACGTGGCCAACAAAACTGACACATATCAAAATATAATCACTTACTAAATTCTACCGACAACTGTCGTAAAAAAGCATAGTATACAACATCTTTAAAAACTTCTTCACTAATTTATTTAGACACGAGCATAGCGTGTTCATAAAATTTGTATACTATATACTTAGGTTTTCGTTAATTTTACGATAACTCTGTTCCACTCGATATAAAATAGGTAAAAAGGGTAGTCGAAGCCGTAAAAACTCGATATGGCATACATTCTAGAGTTAAAAAATTTGAGATCGATCAAAAGAATATCAATTCGATTATTCAAAAGGATCCGAGTGACTTTGTTTCTCAAAAATCATTAAATTTGTTCAAAATTTTTGACCTACCATACGATTTCCTTGATGTTGACATTGCATTGTGGGCTCAAGATGAGAGTTATAAGAAAAATGAAGAGAATCTCAAACAAATGAAATGTAACTAAATGTAACACGCAGCAGAGCGTGGAGCAGTGTTAGTCTCTTTGACGAAAAAAGAAGAACATTTTCAATACTTGCTGCAAGTTGTCAAGGAACATCGAGGACTATTCGATGCCTGTAATAAAAATCGATTTGTATAACTAAATCTAAAAATGCATATTTTTCTATTAACTTTTGAATTAAGGTATAATATTTCCTATGGTGGAACAGAATTCTTTTTCTATTAATGCATTTAGTGATATTTCTTGAATAAAGAACTTTTTCTTCTCAAATAGATAATAACTAATCTCAAAATTTACTAATTTAATGAATAAATTGATAATATTTATTAAAAACTATGAATCTAAGTACCCATTGGGATTCCAATGTAAATAAATATATTTAAAATGGTAGAGTAATAGATCAACGATAATAGTTGAAAACATTTCGAGATAATTATTTTTCAATCAAATGACATTCAAAACAAAAATTTATTTTTCTAAAAATTATAAAAGCATAAGAGACCATTTTTGTAGAGCTTCCAATTTCCTATAAATTCTTTTGATAAAATTGGCTTAATGATCTATTGGTGATAAGATATGATTATTTATATATGAGACTAAATCGAAAATGCTAAACTGTAACGTAAAATGTAATCTTTCCATTAATATTAGGAGCTCATACGTGGTCAGTACTTTCTAGAGTTGACTAGCAACTACCTTTTGTGTGTCAGATCAAGAAATGACCATTGCATTTAAAAAAAAAATAAAAAATTCCAAAAGTGCCTGCGCATTCAGGATTTTTGATTTTGATTATGATTTCTGTGGTTTTATGAATTGCAGATGTTTCCGGCGTCTTTGGTGACTTTGGCGACGTTCCTTCTGGACCTGTCCAGTTCTTCCGCCGTGTACAGCATGCAGCCGGCTTTCATAACCGCCAACATAGGTAAGTCTGTCGTTGGTTTGTTATCGCTCTGCAAAAAAAAGTGGGAAATAAAACGCGGGACCGCCGATTGACACACATTCAGAGGCGATCGTAACACCGTTGACCCCGATTCGTGCGGCACTTGTTTCGTGTGACGTCACCGCGACCCGAATACGCCCACAGTTTTTGCACGTCCCACAATGCAACACGATCTGACGGACCAACGCCTGTGCCTTGCGGAATACGAACATTAGGTTATAAGTAGGAATAATGCAAAAAAATAATGAAAAAAAAAACTGCCAATGCCAATTTCAAGACATTTTTAATGCAACATATATTTTTCTTATACTATGAACTCATTTAGAACTACATACATTAACAGGGTCGCAAAAGGTCATGACTAACCATACAGCTACTGAAGGTATAGAGAAACTTTTAAAGCAACTAAGAATTTGTTAAGAAGGTCCATTCAATATGCGCATGAGCGAGATTTAAAATCTCGTGTTCAACCAATGAGCTTGCGACTTTCAACAACCAACATGGCCGCTGACAGATGGCCAAGCGTCGTATTTTACGGTAGTATGTCTATGAAAATATCAAGGCCGCCTGCGGCTCGTCATTTTTTCCCGTCGTAGGGTCATTATATTATCTAATATGTGAATAACAATAAATCATGGAGGATTCTGTGGTGGAGTATTGGGCACGCGGCGGTTTAACCTCCGTTCGCTCCCGACAGAATCCCTTGTATTCGTCCCCAAAAGTTTCATATCGGTTTCCACTGTGTGAATTTAGTGATTTGAGTGTTCAGTGTATGTTTTAAAGTGATAATCGTCGTCGGCCCCATCGCTTTTCCCTGTTCACGCCGGTATGGAGGCCGGATGGGCCCGGATGGTCTTCGGTGGAAGCGGGGGGAAACCGATTTTTTTTGGTATCGGTCAAAATCGGTTTTTTGCTAGCCGAGCAAATTTTGGTTATATTTCTTATTCGTACGTGTTGGTCATTAACCAAAAGCGAAAATCCTCGACGGAAGTCGGTAATGGGCGAATGGCCATAGTAGTCTTGCCCAACTGTTTGTAAAGAGCAAAGGATATATATATATATATATATATGATGACACTATATTCCGGGATATCATCCGTTCGCTCGTTGAACTCCGACTGGAATCCTGCATCCGACTGGAATCCTGCAAATCTTGCATCCGACTGGAATCCTGCAGACGTTTCGCCAAAATCTCACTTGGCATCTTCAATGCTCGCGTTCCGAAAACACTTCGAACACTGTGTTCGAAGTGTTTTCGGAACGCGAGCATTGAAGATGCCAAGTGAGATTTTGGCGAAACGTCTGCAGGATTCCAGTCGGATGCAAGATTTGCAGGATTCCAGTCGGATGCAGGATTCCAGTCGGAGTTCAACGAGCGAACGGATGATATCCCGGAATATAGTGTCATCACATTTTTCCATCCGTGAATCAATACGTGAGAATATATATATATATATATATATATATATATATATATATATATATATATATATATATATATATATACCCTTTTTTTTATTGCATAACTAAAACTCACAGGATTTTTGTGTTCTAATTAGCATTTGCTTCCTAAATTAGAATATCATGCAACAAGTTTGATAAATGCCATTTAAGTCACGAGCGGTGAATGTTTTCTCAAAAAACGAAAATTCTTACTTCATGCCATTTAATCTAAAAGAAAAAAATAGTTTTTTGAGTGACGGAAAAAGTGTATCAACGGTCGCATACTATACTTTTTACTACGACTTTGAGTTTTTGGGTACAATCGCACAAAACACGAATTCACTGAGCTTCGTGTGACGTCACCTTCAGTATTAACAAACGTCAAAATGCAATGGCTTCTGAACCCGTGATTGAAATACCGGAAAAGTCCGAAGTCGCTCGCGACCTTGAGCTTTCCGTATGCTTTATCCGTGCATAATTATAGTAACTGTATAGAGTTGAAGGTTATTCTGTCATTATGTCATTATTACTTTGTCAAAACCTAATTAACTATACTAGATTTAGAGAATAGGACGGCCTAGTTTGTGTTCATAGTACAGACACTTTTGAGGCCCATATCAAAAGATGCTGAGAAAGAATATTGAGCGCGCATGTGTAAATAATTTCAAAACCCGCTTTCAACCAAGACATGTGACTTTCAACGCGGAAAAAAACGAGTTAATTGCATGGAGTTCGCTATTTATGAATAAAATAACATAAAAATGAATAAATAAATAAAGTATATAAAATACCATAGCTACGCCCGAAATGTTTTGGTCAGCTTCAGTTAGTTTAAAGAGAAATTTGTTGGTAAAATTCATTTTCTGGAATTTCTATTATAATACTCACCAAAAATCACCGTTTATAGAAAGCAAATTACAAATATTAACACATTTAATCACAGGATGCCGCATAATAACAGGGTCAATTTTGCGTAAACTGAAGCTGGAATAAGGGGACCAGCCGAATTCGGACGAGAATTTGCATCCATAATGCCAAAAATTATTTATTTAACACCAGCGGATCAATAATAGATTATTAATTATTTATTGGCAACACACGTCCGAATTTAAATTAATTTTGCGATTAAACGTCAAATTTTCTTCATTTTCCATGTTTACGGGGTGGTTATTTCCATTTCCATTCCGCGACACAAATTCACTTCAATTTAAGCTGAATTAAAAACAAATTCCACGAAAATGAACCAAACAGGTAATTATTCGGTGACAATATTGAACGTGCTCATAAAATAAAATCATTTAAAAATAGTTAAAATCGTAAGATATTATCAACAGGAAGTTCATCATAATAAAAGTAAAGGTTTAAAAGTTTAATAAATTTGTCTGCTCTTAAAACGTTCTGGCATCTGTATTTCGATTTAGACGCACGTATACAGACATCGAAATAACAAATACAACAACTATATAATAAATAAACAAATAAATAATCAATGCTCATTGATTGAACGCGGGTTATATAAAAGAACAATCAGACAATTTACCCAAAGTTGATATATTTATGACTCCATCATACATTAAAAATTAGGAGGATTTTCCTTAAGTTCGTGGTGAAAAACTAGCATCAAAGTATAACTCCAATAACAAGTCTTATTTAAAATAAATATATTAAATATTAAATGTTTAGAATGCACCTTATAAACACCAGTGCTGATTTATTAATATTTATACGCACACAGGTACAAATTCCTTTTGTGTATTTAATAATAAATCAATAAGCAAGAAAGGAGATTAGAAAATCATTACCTAATTATTTGCACATTTTATTACCTAATTATTTACTATTTATTTATTTCATTTTAGATCTGGAAGAGATTCCTTTGGAGAATCTGCGGTAGGGTGGGTTCAAGTCCAAAGAATCCAAAGTATTTGCACGGTCAAAGCTAAAATAATAGCAGAGCATATTTTGAAATAAAAAAGCATCATGGAATAGTTTCCATAAAAAATACAAAAACTGCAAATATGGTAAGAAATCAATGAGAAATGGTTGAATTGGCTGTTATACTCGTAATATTCAGTGTACTTTCCTGCGGTGTGACATCACACCGGCTGCCGCGCATTTTGCTTCTGTTTGAATATGCCCGGCGGCGATTCCAATATTAATTATTATTGTGAAATAAGTATTGCCATTTAAGGGTTCATATTTGGTATAATGTAAGTAATGTAGTAATGTAATGTATTTTTACACACATATTTTAATAACATATAAAAATGGGCAAGTTTCCTATTGAACGCTTTGACATACCTCGGTCAAGGTTCCATTCGATTTTTAAAAAATTGGCCAGCTCTAGTCATAATTGAGGGGATCAGCTAACGGGTATAAGCTATAAAACTCAAAATTATTGGAATTTTGTTTTGATAATTTTTGCACATTTTTCATTGTCAAAAAATCTTTTACGGAAAATAAAATAAAATACCAAAATTTATCGCATATATATATATATATATATATATATATATATGTATGTATATGTATAGACCGAGGTATGTCAAAGCGTTCAATAGGAAACTTGCCCATTGTTATATATATATATATATATATATATATATATATATATATATATATATATATATATATATATATATATATATATATATATATATATATATATATATATATATATATATATATATATATATATATATATATATATATATATATATATATATATATATATATATATATATATATATATATATATATATATATATAACTTAACTTTATAATCTGCTGCAACGGAAAGTTTGAAATTCTTAGAAGCAAATAGTAAACATAAGAGTTTTCGCAAATTTGGTAATTTTTAAAAATATTTTTGATTAGGATTTTGAAAACATTTGTACTAAGCATAAATCTAAGCATCTATTCCATATAGCTTGGTACTGCAATGACGTATTAATTGAGATTGAAACCTTTTTTGCATAAATCATATCCTTCTTTGAACTAAAGACATTGAAGTTAACTGGAAAGGAAAACCTCAGGAAAGTATGTAGATTAATTATTAACGGACAATACAATACAATTAAGTAAAATATTTCTCTATTTGACTAGCACATTATCGATATATTGTTCAATTTTCTAACATTTGATTATGTCTAGGTGCTATTAAAATTTATTGAAATATTGGCTCGTTATTTTGACTTCGAATTCTTATACAGGATGTTCCTAAATTGGACTTAAATAGTTTGGAACAAATCAAAACTAGATAGAAACGAGTTACAAGACGCTTTTTGCATTGAATAAGATTTGTTAGAATTACTAATTTTTTGACCATAGATATTAATATAAGGTAGATATTTTTCCGAAATTTAACACCCTGTATTTTAACAATTATTAACAAATTAACAATTAACAAATATAAAAAAAATAAGTCACGTGATTCAAAGCACTACTCGCCATTACAGTCAGCTCACGTTATAGAAAGAACCGGTAAATAGCAAACAGGCTAGCTTCTCGTGTCAAACATCGCCGTGGTCGTTGCAGAT